CACAGTAACAAAATATTAGAACCACGCTTTTTTTTTTCCCCCATATATGATTGGAGAGTTTCTAAGTTTCAGTATTATTCTTATGTCCACATTTTGGCAGAGTATTTTGTTATCTCAGCATACCATCCTCCATATACTTTTAGTGAAAGATTTCATTAAAAAACCAAACAAGTAAAACATCTGTAAATCTCATACAACTCAGCAATGAATACTACTAGTGACAGGAAAACTAGAGTTTTATAGTTCTAATTCATCCCATGTGACTCATGCAGGAAGAGGAAAAAGTTCTCATTTTGAAAAATTACTTAGGGTGACCTAAGAGTACCTCAAAGAAAAGACTGCACAAAGTCCAGAAGAAATGTTTCATTCCTCCCACCCAACACTAGATATACCTGACTTGGTCCTAAAGAAGGCCACTGAAAGTGAAAGGCGTACTTTTCTCCATTATGCTTGCAGTGTTTTTAGGGTAGTTTGCAAGCCTTATGTTAAGCACGAAAAACACTGCATTTAACGGAAATGTTAATGTTCATTTACTTTCACTAATGTTGCTTTTGCGCCATTTCCTCCTTAACTTATCTCAGAAATCTGATCTGTTTAATTTTCCACCCAGTTGAGACCCTGGGAGAAGAGCATGAGAATTAACTATAAAAATCTAGTTATATCCTCCTCTGTAATGCCAGTTCCATCTCATGTCATTGGGATTAAGAATTTTTATTAAGCTTAAAAAAAAAAAAAAAAAGAAACAGTAAACCAAGCTGCTGTTCTGGGTGTTATTTATTGCTGCTAGAGGGTGAATATTGACTCCTACACTATAAGTGCTTCTTGGTTTTTTTTGTTTTGTTTTGTTTTTTGTTTTGGTTGTCCCTACTCCTCTTAAAGTACATAACTTCCAACATGAGATGAAAAGTGTACATGTATGGGAAAGGACTTGCACATTAACTCTATTTGCTCTACGTTTCTTGAACCTCCAAGTCAGCGATCTAATTAAAAATAGCAAAGGGCTTAACTGATGGCTCCAAATACTTTACAAATACATGGCACTGTATTCTTCCTAAACTGTCTGTTGCTGCTTTTTTCTTAATGCAGTCATGGGATTGCTACAGTTAACAAGAGTAAGTCAGAAAGACAGGACCTTGTTTTGAAAAAATACTCCACATGTTCATTTTAATACATTAATTTTTGGTAATCCACATTAAAATTAGGAGCCTTGTAGGCCCCGTTGCGAGCCAAGACACAGCATAGGATTTCTTCACTTTAGGGAGCCCAACTTACTTTTGTATTATAAATCTGCAAAGCAGTTAAGTAACTTGATAAAGATCTTAGACAATCTAGTGGTACTAGCTCCTTGCAAGAATTGGCACAGTGGGAAGTGCTGAAGCATGACTTGCATGCTTGAATAGCATGGCTGGCTACTTACCAAAAGCCCAAGTATACAAACAGCAAGAATTCTGTTCTCCATTCTAAATCCAGCAAAACAAAGGCAGCAGATCAAAAATGACCACAAATATACAACATAGTGGCTAATATGCTAAGTTACATAAGAACATAAAAATTATCATATTGGATCCAAAGGCTATCCAGTTCAGAAGCTTGTTGAGTAAGAATATACAGCTATAGAAAGCATGTATTCTGATTTCACATACATGCTGTGATGAATGTATGCCACTTCCTTTGAAGTTTCTCCCAGCTTCCAGAAATCTGCACTGAGGACTACCTAATTATCACTGGAAAATTTGTGTTAAACAGCCAATGGACTTTTCTTCTACAAACTTCTTTATACCTTCTGGTTCTCGCAAGATTCTATATCAAACAAGTTGTGTTATGTGAAAAAGTAATTTGGGCTGTTTGTTTTAATTATCTTCTGTGATGATTTATGTCACTGCTCCTTGCTTTTTGTATGGTACAGTAACTAATTCTTCTCTATTCCTCTTCTCCTTGTCATTTATGACGTACTGTACTGTGAACATAACCAAACTCAGTCATCATTTTCCAAGCCATGTATCCTCCTTTATTTAATCTGTCCTTGTTCAAGAAGCTATCCTCTTTCTCTGATCATCCTTGCTGTCTTTATTGTACCCTTTCTTGTTCTACCATATTTTTTTTTTAAAATGTAAGAACCAGAACTGTAGACAGTATTCAAGGGAACCACATCTATACACAATGACACAGTGATTATTTTTGTTTTGTTCTCTCTTTCCTCATCAATTCCTAAGATACTCTCCAACTTTTCTGATAATTTTCCAAATACAGTTTAAGGTTTTCCCCCGCCGCCATGTACTACTTTGCATTTATCAAAGCTAAATTTAATTTGCATATTATTACCCAGCCTCATATATTCTTCCACAGCTTTCATCATTGTGGAAGCTTTCATTTTTCCTACTATGGGTAATTTTGTACCATTGGCAAACCTAGTCATGTCATTATTTGTCTCCTATAACTTATTAATTATGAATACGAGCCCTTTCTTTAAAGAAACAAAAGGTTCTTTCAAGTGTTCAAATCAGGTGCATTTTATCCTTTTCATTGCTACTTCACTGAAAATTTTCTGTTAGAAATGAGAAAGGTTATTATGTAGCTTCCCTTCTTGAAATTAGTACTGTGGAAATTTTTTGAGGTATTCGCTAACACATGGATTTTGAATTTGATTATACTCAGATCACTGTAACAGACTTGAATTTTCATCATAAAATTTTAAATCAGGTTCTGTGGAATCTCTGTATTGGTCTAGTCACCTGTTCACTTGTGTGTTTTTTAAGAAAGATGAAAACTCAGCATTTAAAATTCATCCTCTATATCATGCCATGTCATTGCATTTACTAGGTCAATATGGGCAGAATAGAAGTCTCCAACTATTATTTAATTATCTATCTACATAAAATCTCTAACCTTTTAATATGCCAGTCACTGTTCCCATCCAGGCTGGCTGGTGAATAATTTAGCCTCAATACGATGAGTCTCCTATCGGAGCATGTAATTTAAAACAATTTTATGTTACTCACTGATAAAGAAAAGATATTTACTTTATTTTGAGAGAAGGTTTCTATAATGTTTAGAACCATTTCTCCACTGGCATAATCTATTTAATAATACCCCATTGTAAATTAAATAGGAACAATATCCTACATGTTATCTTCCTCCTATCACATTTAAAAAGTTATTTTAGGTTTATAGCTTCCTCTTCTAAAACCAGGTGTTCCACTTTATTCATCTTCTTGTAAAACATCTAATATTTGTATAAAAACACTTACATATTTGGTGTTCATGTGTTTGCTTTTTGTTATATCCTATCTAAATTGAACTCTGTTTGCCTCTTATTTCCTATCTATGGTTTGTTGACCTCCACCTGTCCTTCATTTGAGGATACAAAAAAACCCCTCACACTATTTCGCCTTTAGGAAAGGAGGAAGTTACCTTGAACTGTGTACTCTTCTGTATGTCAGTTTTCTCCCACAAATTTTTAAAAAGATGACAAAGCAGTTTTTACATGAAATTACCAAGAGTGTAAGATGCATGCAGTACTAATGTTTCCATTTACCTTTAATTGGAACCAATCCTTCCCATAGGCTCATTTTTTTTTTTTCCAATTAACCTACCTTCCTAATCAGACTACATTTCTGTTCCCTTCCCCCTCTCCCAAACATACGTCAAGTCTCAGCCTCTCTATCCTGTTTTGCATATGGGTTTAAAAACATATCACAGTAAAATTAAGACTCTTAGTTTCCTAATAATTTCAGTTTTGTTTTTGGGCTATATCTTCACTATACATCTTTTCAGAATATCTTTTCTCAGACTATCTCTGTCTTTTTATCTACGTGTGCTATGATCACTCATCACACCTGCATGACTGTTATGGGCTTTAAGAGGTCTACCACCATTCTATCAGTCACACTGTGACTTTAATGGCATCACAAACCCAGTCACCTATATGCCCACTAACCGAGTCCTCCACTACTACAGTTCATACTGCTTCTTTCTGTTAGCTAGGATCCCAACTCCAAAGGGATAGCCTTAATGCAAAAGGAATGTGTTAGGGAAGCCTCATCTATAGAACTACTTCCAGCCTTCTAGCGTGAAGTTCTCTGCTGCACGATCTCAACAGTACAAGGGCTGCAAGGGGAACAGAACGGCTCAGCAGTATTTCTGAAAGTTTCATCAGTGCTGCCGCTCTGTCTCTTGAGCTCCTTCTCTTTAGTCACCATGGACACAGGAGACAGCATTCTGTCTCTGAGGACCATGAGCTGTCTGCACCATAAACACGCGTAAGTTACCCACCTAAAGAAATAGTCTTACTGATAATGCCTAAAAAGGAAACTGGGAAGCCCCATTTTGGCTGAATTTCTGTGTTCCAATTACTGGCTTTTTTGATTTGGGATTTTTGGTTTTACTTTGGCAAGGGGAAGGGAAGACAAGGTCTTGTTATGGTCTATTATTGAATAAGTAGAAGTAAATATTGAAAATAGATTGATTTTTTTTGTTGGGTATTTTCCTGTGTTTTTTGATTCAACCAAGGAGTTAGTCCCAGAGCCTCCATTTCTCTCTGTAGCCAAATTCCTCTTTACGTTTTTATCACCCTCAGTTCCAGGGCACACTCCATGCTAGGATTCTACATACTCGATAGGCTTTCATTAGCAGTCCTAGATTTGCACCTGTGAGTGTCTGTACCTGTGAGGTTTCAGCACACGCTTCATCTAATTACGCTGTTGTCTTCTGTTTCTATAATAGGGATTATTAGTCAAAGGCAAGCTGCCACAGCGCCTATCAGTGAAGACTAGCAGTTTGCAGTACAGCCTCTTTTCCAGCCAAATTCATATAGTAAGGTTTGGAATCAATTGAGCTTCTAATTAAAACTTGCAAATTAGACTTTCTGTTACTCATACTATAGCAACAAAATGCCTAGCAATAGTCATGCTAACAGTCAGCAGTTAGACAAAGATACGATGGTATATATTTGGATATTGTAAGAAGGATTACATAATCGAGAAAGAACATTTCAAACATACCACATTCGCTGGCTGATTCACCCACCAACTGGAAGAACTGCTGAGCAATTTTCAGATGATCTCTCTGGGAGAGGGGGGGGGGAAATCCAACATGAGTTCCAGAGTTGATGCTACATTATACAGTGAAAATATGCTCTGAGGAACAGATGGGGAGGAACTAACAGACAAACCAGCGCTGAAGTAAGAACAGAAAAGGTAAATGTGCCACTGTATGTGCCTAGATACACAAGAACACTGTAGAAAGCAAACAGTTTTTTTGGAAGCAGGACAGAGAAGCCAAATTCAGCTTGATTTATTGTCAGGACTAGCAACAGAGATTTGCATCGCACTCATTCTGGACTGAGTACTGTACAGAAGACTAAGAGACTCAAAGATCCTGCAGTTTAAATGAGAAATGACTGCCTCTTTCACTCCATTCCAGTCCCTACAGATCTGTTCACATTCTACTGTTGGAGAAGCTGGAGAACCTCATGGGCTTCACTCACCGAGCCCATTTCTTGTCCAAGTGCTGCATTTACCACTCCTTTGAGGATGTACTCCTGGAAAAAAAAAAGGTAAAAAGGATCAGAGGAGACAACGTGAAGATTTCAGGAGACACGTAAGAGCCTACGTGCACATTATTTTCTTCCTAAATTCAACCCTATCTCAACTCAGTTTAATAGGTAGCTGGTTACTATGATAGTGCTTCAGCACAATAGTACAAAGTTACCCCCCCCCAAATCCATTCTACTTGCTAGCTAATCACTTCTGTTAAATATGTGGGATGCAAAGGGGTAGTGTGTTTTCTGGTAAGTCTTATGCTCAAAGACGATGCACCAGAAGGAACACCATAACATACTATCATGCCCTCTTCACCATCATATGACCAATAATCAAGTGCAATATTGTTATATTAATGCACAGATCCCACTTCAAGTATGCACATTGGTTAACCATAACCACTACCACCCTTGCTCCAAAATGCATAGCGTTTCTCATTAGGGCAAAAATGTCAAGAGGTTTGTGCTCTGTGGTCATGTTACTCTACTGAAATTAGGAGTAGGAGTAGAGTATCCTGTAATCTCTACTGAGATATCACTGTAGTTTAATTCTTCTCCGAGCAAGATTTTCTCAGTATGTAACAGACTCATTTGTCTTATTAATTTGTCTTATAATTAAGAGTTATGGCTCTAAACCTGTTTTAGTAGGTACTCCTGATAAACCAGGACAGCCCTGTTACAAATGTAAACATGCAAAAAGAGAAAGAGACATGTACACAGACCAACAATGGAGTGCAAGAAACAATCTGAGAGTACTAGCCAGCACGCTAAGTAATCATTTTAGCATACCAACTCTCTTACAGATGCCAAATTATTATCCTATAGACGTCATGACAAAGAAGAAATTTGAGAACTGAAGGAGGATATACAAGTAGTTTTGCAAGTCTTAGAGGGGAGTTCCTTCCAAGTGTGAGTGAGAAAATGGAAAAAAAGCACAAAAGATTTTCATTTCAAAATGTGATCAAGAATGATATCATGTTATTTATATTAGGCATGTATATGGGGAAAATGGAGGCTAAAGGACCAATAGCTGCAGAAAACTGTTCAAGTAAGTCTTGCTGTACTAAAAAATGCAAGGAGAAGTGAAAAGCAACAGCAGAAGACACCCTTCAGCACAAAATCACCGGATCTGTGTTCTCGAGGTTTTCCTTTTCCCTCCTTCCATCTAATCCTCACACAGACTCATGAAAGGTCCCTTTCATGCCCAGCTATGTGACCTTTGGAAAATAAACTGCAAAGAGGAATAAATCAGAGACTAAAGATGTTGGAACAGCCACAAAAGAAAATTACAGTAGCAGCCAAGGGACACTGCAGTTTTCACTCACTGCAGCCAAAGTGAGATGGAATTAGAAAAGACCTATTATTTAAACTGTTTAATCTAATCTAGCTCATTTTTATTGAAATGGCTTCAGGACAAACCACATGAGCATCTGAGCTAATAGATCTGTGGGATGGTAACCATCACCTGGGCAGAAATGACAAGTAGCTGTAGTTGGAAGAGGGCTTTTATCTATGCACTAATGGTCAGCTCACTAGAATCAAGTCTGCACGCAATAGAGCTGTATTCTTATTGACTCCAGGTGGTACGGCAATAAACATGCTAAGTGCTCATGTATGCTCATATGTAATACTTCATGCATGCACATTAAATCTATTGTTGATAAAAAGATGGAAAACACAAGAGTTTTAAAAGTGATAATGGGGCAAGGATACCTCAGGATACCAGTTTTGTATGTGGCAGATTTCCTAACAATTTATAACCTCCGTCTTTATGGACCATGACATCAGTTTGCAATTACCTGTGGAGCTGTAGGTTCCAGGTCCTTAATCAGGTTATAAGCCTCCTGCACATCATCTGAAATACCATACGTTAGAATGCATGACAACCCATAGCACACTGTATTAGAACAAGTCACTCATCCTCTACAACATTCCCCAATAGTCATAGACTAAGAAATAAAGCATTCAGACAGGAGGAGAAAGGTAACTATAAATCATTGTGAATTTATATCACAATGGTGATGGTTTTCTAGAACTCAAATAACAAACATGGAGTGAGTAATAGCTTCTTTATTACTACAGTTTTCCTAGTAGAGATGACTTGGCCTCCTTGTTCATAATCCAGTGGCTGCCTTCTCAACAGTACAAGGTCAAGATAATAAATCCATCATCTTTCTGTCTTTTCTTTTCTCATATTTATTTACTGCTCAAGGAGGATAGGGTAACATGATTCTGAAGGGAAATTTCATCTTTTCCTTATCAATATTTCAAAATCAATCCAGCAGCTCTTAGCTGACCCTAATTCTAACAAGCAAAAAGCAACCACTGGTATAGAAGTTTAAATGTAAAGTTTAAAGTCAATAAACAATTTCCTTCCTACCCAAGAAATAAGTAAACTGAAAAGATCCTAAAATTCACCTAAATCAAAAAAAGATGTTGGCACTACAGTCGGCTTCATAAACCAACCTAGTGAAGACGCCCTTTTTACTGGCAAAATTTTGTTAATACAGCATTATACCAGCTGCCCATAAGAACAAGCCTTACCAAACAAAACTTTTTTTGCTAGTACATACCATCCATACACTGTATGGACAGTACTCCAGGGTGACTTAAGGCAATATATATTGGAGCTGCCAGGCTCCCATCCAATGCCTCTGCTTTCCTACCCATTCCCTTAAGCAGTCATGTAGTAAGCCAGCACAAGGTGCTAGACTAGCCAAAAGATATCACTTTTTTTTTTTTAAATGGAAATAGTTTTTTTGTTATATTTGGCTAGCTCAGCCTACCAACAACAACAACAAAAAAAGAAATGACAGCAGTCCTTGTTTTCATCAGTGTAGACCATCAACAAAGAACTATGCTCTTCAGACTCCAGCAGAAGCCTCTAGCAAATCTCACTGGAGCAGATTACAACTGGATACCTGGCCCCAACCCTGTTAAAAGTCACTACCTTAAAGAGTTGAAAAAAATGGGATGCATGTTTGTGCTTCAGTCACTCCAGTTCAGAGCATGTCTTAACACAAGCCTACCTTTATCGGAGACCTTGTAAGTTTTGGAGAGACAGCTGTAGTCATTAGAAGTAATGATTTCTCACATTCTTAACTGATGCTGCTACACTCGCAAGACTTTAAAATGGAAACTTAGCCTAACCAGGAAAGAGGTTTTAAACCTAATTCCCCTTGGCCTCTGTCATTATGCAAGTCATTTGTATACCACAGTGAAGAACAGAACCTAACTAATGAAAATTACTGCAAGGTTGACAGCAAATGAGTAAACAAGACTGATCTTTAAGTGATGCAGATGATGTACTTTGCTTCTGTGTAAGTAGAACTAAATTTGAAACATGTATTATTATTAACAATATTATTGGCCAAGATAATTGGTAAGAATACCAATATTACCTATAGTGATATTGACAACAATAATACTGGACAGAAAGGTGGCTGGGAACAGCAGGCATAGATTTACCAATGCCAAAGTGTACTGACTAACCCAATGGATGACTGGTTGTATGGGTAAGGGAATAGTAGTGGATGCTGTATACCTTGACTTTAGCAAGGTCTTTGACATGGTCTCTTATATCTTTGTCATAGCCAAACTTGAGAGATAGGACTGGCTAAGTAACATAAGGGGATGGAAAACTGGCTGGACTACCAAAGGACAGTGATCAGTTGTACAAAATCCAACTGGTGGCTCATTACTAATTGAATCCTCCAGGGATTGATACTGTTGAATGTCTTTTATTAATGACCCAGATGATAGGATAGAGAGTACTCTCAGCAAGTTCGCAGATGATAAAAGATGGGGGAGAAAGCTCCCAGCTATTGAGAAGCAGCTCAACAGGCTGAAAAAAATGGGCTGAAAGAAATCTCATTAAGTTCAATGGAGGCAAAATGCAAGTCCTGCATCTTGCTTGGTTTGAAACAGTCCTAAGCAACATGACAGGCAGGGGGCTGACTGGCTAAAAGGCAGCCTGGGGGTCCTGACAGACAGTGCACCCTTGCAGCAAAGGAGGCCAACTGCACACTGGATCATATTAGCAGAATGTAGCCATAGGGCAAGGGAAAGGATTCTTCTCTATTTGGCACTTGTGAGATTGCACCTGGAGTACTGTGTCCAATTTTGGGATCCCTCGATCAAGACAGACATTGAAATACTGGAGTGAGCATACCCAAGGGCTCCCAAGGCAGGTAGGGGGCTGAGGAGAGATTGAGAGAACTGCATTTGCTTAGCTGTCAGAGGAGAACTGTCTACAACTAACTAATGGGAGGATACAGAGAAGATGGAGACAGATTCCACAGGGTGAGATGAAAAGCAGTGGACACAAGGTGGAACAGAGGAAGTTCTGACTAGATGCATAGACTAGACAAGGCTCTAAGCAACCTGATCTTGGACTTGCCTTGAATAAAATGTTGTGCTAGAGATCTCCAGAGGTCCCTTCTCACTAATAATGTGATTCTGTTATTTACCTAGAACTCTATAAATTTATACAATAAAAGGCAGGTGATAATGTACTTTTAATAACATACAATTGTGACCATTTGAATTTACTTGAGAACGTATACCGAATTTACAACCATGATGAAATTTAAATAACCTCATATGAAATTTAAATAACCTTATTGTCATTCTCTAGTATCAAATAAAACAAAATAGGGATAGAATTGCCATATTTTGTGAAGACTGATGTTTGCAGATTAGCAAAGTCAGATTAGTGAGATTTTATTGCACAGTATTAGCCACAATAACAATTTCTGTAACCACTAATAGTCATCAGTAGTGGGATATTCTAAAATTTGTCACAGTCCGAGTTGAACTGAAACAATGAGGCAGTGTTTCAATTGCACACGCAGACAAAAGAAGCAGTCCTGGATACAACCGAGCACTAAAGAGAACTTATTCCAACTACAAAGATTAAATCTCACCAACCTTGTTGATTACAAATCATAAAAATGTTCCTCAGAATCAGTATCTGAAAGTCCAAGTCAATCACATTACAAAAACCTCACAGAGCTTTTCAATGTACTGTGTTTACATATGCTTAGATTCTCTGATGAACTTATTGGGATGCAGAGAATATATAGTTGGTGTGACTTACTTCTGCCAGCAGAATATATCTCCTTTTTTTCCTGGTAGTTTTGCAACATTTTGGAAAAAAAAAAAAAAAAAAAAATCGCAGGCATGGACTTCATTTATTTAAAAAGTAAAAAAAGACATTATTCTGCTTTCAGATGCTCTGGTCATCTAAACCTATTTTGTCAACTTTAAAAAGTGACAAAATACAAGGCTTATAATGAAGCAATGGATGGAAAAGCAATCATCACATCACCTTGTGTTAGATGACTGCAGTTAACTCATCACTCAGCCAGTCAACCCACTGTTGAATAAAGGAACACAATGGGAGAATAGGAATGGCTCTGAAACTAAACTCAGATAAAATTCAAAGGAGTCGGCCAACTAAGGAGAGAAACAGTAGAAAATTCTTTCCAACTGATTCTGGCTACCTACCTGAATTCTTTAAGAGTTGTAAAGTAGATTTGGAATGAAATGTATTGTTCACAAACTGCAGCCTTGTTCACAGTCACTTTGGCTCATAATCTGTTTGTGCCGTATTTACAGAAATGTTTGTGCCGTATTTACATAGGACATAGGCCTACCATTCTCATATATTCAGGCAGAGGAGAGGTCCTCTCACTATAAACATATAAACACCACCATCCCCAAAGCCATCTCACACAACCCAAGAACTTCCAATACTCTGCTAAAGTAAATTTATTTGACGGCACACAATTTAAGCCCTTCTCTGCAAGCCATGGGAACTCTTACATCACTATTTTCCAGAGGAACAGAAAATGAAATAAATTACATTTTACTGCAAAGAAAAAAAAGCATTTCATGGAATAGTCAGTTGAGATCAGATGAATGAATGTCATCCCTGAAGCTATGAAAGAGCCAGAGGAAGGTGTATTTACCTTGCCGGAGATAGTAAATCACAAGATTCAGTCTTGCCTCAGGAATAACATCAACCAGAGGAGGCAGGACCTGCAAAGCCCCTTCTCCTCCTCGGAACACCACCTGCAAAGAAAAGCAGCATATTGATAACTGCGTATCAAAATCTTGTCTATGATCTCTTAATTCAAGGAAATTCATCCTTAAATTCCTATACTAACAGTAGGAAAAGGTCAGTGGCACTAGGATTAGCATAATTGCTGCTTTTATATAACTATAGAATTACAACGTGTGACAAATTGATTCTGAAGAATATGAAGTATTTAATCCATCAGTAAAGATTAACTTATTTCAGCTTTTAGCAGCTTAAAGCAGCGATACATTATATATCAAAGATTTTAAAGAATAATACGGTCTGAGACAAGAGTGAGGGGAACACATACAGAATTACAATTTGCTTCTGATGTTTTCATATGAGAAAAAATAGGCTAACAACTCTACATTTTATTTAGAATGCCACAGGATCCTAAAATGATCAGGAGCAGTCGATTCTTTACACTTGTTTCCCATGACAGTTCCTCCAACAAAATCTAATATACTTATTCAATAAGCCACTGGCAAAAGACCAACATTCAAAATAAAGAATGTTAATTTACAGAAGCCTGGTTTGAAAGCAGTTTTAACTCTTGGGGAAAAAAGTGTTAGCTTGTTGTGATTGCTCTTGAAAAACGACAAAGCAAGCAACTGTCCATCATTAAATAAGAGCAATCTACTGTCACTGCTGGTTCAGCAAAGAAATAACACCACTGCAGGGAAAATTAACAGGTGATTACTGACTCTTTTACTGCAGAACACACAAGTATTTTGGCTTTTATCAGCATCTTTTTCCCTATGAACTCCTTGTTTAGTACTTTTTGGATTAAGACCATTTTTCCAAGTTATCTTAATTCCACTGACATTGTTGTCGTTCTAAATAAGAGTTCAGGGTCATGCATTCTGACTTTTTTTCTACAGTGTCCTTATTGACTGGGCTCCACAAAATATCTTGCAAAGGTATTCTTACAGGACATAAATTACTTTAATATGCCTTCAGGGGTAAAAGCAACAGCATTATTATTTTCTTGACACAGTCTCAAACTGACAGGGAAAAATTCCAGGGGAAAAAAATACACTTGATGGGACATTGATTATACAGATAGTATTTCTGGAATGGGTCTTATATGGCAGCAGAGATTCAATTGGGTCCGCAATTCCCAAAATATTCCATTTTATGAATCATCAAGAAAAGCTCTACAAATGAGTCAAGTTCATATTAAATCTGAGAAATACATTACTCACCAGATTGTGCTTAATGAGCTCCTTGCCAAACTCAAAAGACAATGAGGCACTGTCCGTCAAGTTCTTGAGTTCTGCCTGGAATTACATATATTCCAAAATTTTAACGAAAACAAAAAAAGCACACAAGATAAATGGAGCTTTGTATGAGCCCCAAAGCTGATAGAAAGACACCTCCATCTTCCGGTGTTGGATCACTGGAAGATTTTTGCCTTCCTACTTCTGTGTGATGATTTTAGCAATTGGATAATACATATAGACACAAGGTCAAAAGTGGGCTGGGAAAACTGTAAGACCACCGTGCACACATGTGGACAGACGGCTTAATACTAGGGAAATTGAAATGGGTGACATTCCTAAGAGAAGGACACAATGACAAGATAAAGGCCATTATAAAAATTACTGATTAAGACAGATAACAAGGAAAAAGAAACCTGTATGGAATCTTAAACTAAAATAAAGGTGAACTGAAGGGCTGTCCAATAGATACCTCAGCAGCCTTCCCATTGTAAAGTCGGAAATGGTTACAAGCCTTAAGGTTGAGAGCAATGGTACTGTCAGGAACTTGCTGAAGATAAACAGCTAGCACTTCCTGTGATACATCATAGTAATCCAGTTTGTAATAGCACAGGGCCACATATACATTCAGAGCCAGATATTCCCTGCAGGAAAGAGGATTAAAGAGAACATTTAAATCGCAGATAGTTATACTACAGAACATTAAAATCAGTGATAAAGCTCTCACATGTCTATACATCTTTTACAAGCACATCAAAATGGGGTTTCTGAGAAATGCTTATTAGGTATCTTTAGAGCTCTAGTTTGTTAGATAAGATCGCACAGATCCAGATTCACATTAGTTTTTTCAACGGCAGCTACTGAAGCTTTAAAGAATTACCTACAAAACTGTTGGTTTGCAAATCTGGGAAATGGTGGCAACTTCACACTAAGGAAATGCACAGAACATGAGCACTGTACTTGGCCTGGCAGAATAGGATTTTCTATGCAATACATGCAAAGACATTTAATATGCACATAAAACTTTGAAAATATTTTAAATGGATCTTATTATCTTATACCAAGTACAATTATTTCAAAAAATCCTTGCCATTACAAGCTATCAAGCCAGAAGAACGACACTCAGAAATAAGACAGACATTTGTGGTAACAGTAAGTAAAAGGATAATTGTTATGAAGGTTACTCATTTAGCTTTGAGTGATTGCTTCTACAGGACTTGGAAGTTAAAATCTTTTCCCCAAGCCTTACATGACATACTTATATACATTATGATGGACTTTCAGCTTTCTCTGAAGTATTCAAGAAGAGATACTTCCAAAAGATAGCTATGTATTCTGGGACAGCAGTTTCTATTTTAGTAAACAATACTTCCAGCCACTTAAGAATTCAATTTGTTCCTTGCTAAATTCTGAACTAGGAACTTGCAGAAAATGATAAAAAAAACCCCTATCAACAAGTGTCATAGCAGGATAAATAGAAACGGAAAGAATTTCAGACTTAAAGGAATGCAAGGAACTCTCTACATAAAAGCTAAAACCCGAACCCTTCTTAGAAAGGCTAAGAGCTGAAGGAGAAGTCAATAATCACAAGCAAGGGTCACCAGACTGGCCATCAGAGGTGTGTGTGGGGGGGAAAGACAAAGCAGGTACATAACCATATATCATTTCAAAAGAAAAAAGCTGCAAAATAAAAAAGGATCTCGGAATGAATTACAAGAAAATATCACTAAAAGAAAGCAACAGACAGCAGACTTCTTTTTAAATATGCATTTTTCAATAATGATTTGCCATGAACAAAACTGAGGGGGCTGCAACTTGTGCACATTTTGCAGTGAGAAAGGGACATAGTAATTGGGAAAAATTCCTACTTTCAGAAACTAAGCAACTAAATGGAATTCAAATACCAACAGTATCAGAGACACTGCAATAGAGTAGAGATGCCCACCGATTATCAAGAAGAATGCGTTTGTAGATATCAATAGCTTCTTGGTAGTGGGACCGCATATAGTGGATAGATGCCAAGCTAAGCTGATCTTCTGTAATGTCTTGCAGATTCTGGTGAGAGCTCATCAGTTTCTTCTCATCACTGAACTAAAAAGAGTGTGACACATTCTCAGAAGAGTTCAGCAAGAAAAACGTTTTAATTAGCTGGATTAGTTTTGTCCTTGCTGGCAAACAGCAGGTGATTCATAACAAACATCTGGAAAAACTCTGTTACTTTAAAGTTAATTTGACCAGTGGAGAAAGCCAAACATTAAAGAGGCAGACCAGTTGAAACTAGGCAAATGTGAGGCTAAAACTAAGTACACATTTTCCTTTAAGGTGTGATTTAGACATAATTACATGTCACATGCCTTGATGGATAAGAGGGGAAGAGCTGAATTAATTATTTCACAAACAGAATTTTGCAACACAAGATCTGACTTTTATTATTTGAGCCAGCAGAAATTTTGCTGTTTGTAGATCCAAATCTTATTTCCCTTGGATAGCAGAAAAATGCAAGACTTGCCAACACACAAGCACTAATTTTCACAAGACTTCTTTACAGCACTAAAAAATTCTCTTGTATCAGCCCCTTAAAATTCCAGTTTGTTTAACTATTTTTAAAAGCATTGCTGTATAGCACGTAACACACACACAAGGATAAAAACAAGGATCAGAGTTAAACATACCTGTAATATTTGTATTGCAATAGGAAGTTGAGGCTATTCACCTCATCAGTCTACTCAAATCACTTATTCCAATGCTTCCCCCTTTGCTGGTTCTGCTGATTCAACAGTAATTATGAATTTCTCTTACACACAAATTCTATCTCATGTATTTGTTTTTCATCTGTCTGCTCAGTTTTCTTCAAATCCTTTTCCTCCTTCTTTAAGCCAGTCACAAAATGATACGCCAATACAAAGGCAAGAGAAGTTGCTTAACAGAACTGAAGGCAATGGGCTTCATAGTTTCGTAAAACCCTTTATTTCCAAAGGCTAACTACATGAACTAGGAATTATCCAACTTCTCTTTATCACAGACATCTGTAAGTGCCAGTGCCACTACAAAAATGTTTTAAGATTTCTCTCTTAAACTTAACAGAGATTTAAGCAAAGAGAATCTGACATCAAAGCTAACATTCAGGATTTATACTTTCTTTCACCCAAAACTCTTCAGTAGCACAATACTTGTTAAGTATAACACAGGATGGTACAAACCCAAATTTAAGGGAAGATAGCTATGTGTGGTAAGTGAAATAAGCATTTAATTGTTGTTGAAATTAAAGTAAATTTCATGCTATAAACAATATTACTTCTTGGTTACTGAATGACTTGGGAGGATCAGTAATAACATACAGACCATTTTGCTCAAATTGCTAAGTATAAGACAGCTGAAAGTCAGGAAAACTTGGTACACTTCAAAGAAAAAGAAAAAGAGTGGCTTACACATTTCTGACTCTGTTCAAGTCCCAGGTTCCTTGTGATCAAAAATACCACCAGGTTGCTGTTGTATGACTTACGTGAAGTGAGGTGGTAAGACTTTCCTCAGATACATGCTGAGGGCATCTATTCTGAGATCATGTTTTCACACTTACTTTCTCCTCCACATTTTAATACAGTAGGGTGGTTGTGGAAAACGTTTGTTCTCCTGCCACCACAGACATTTTAATTATTCTGCCAGGTTGCCAGCATAAATTACACATTACCCAATTGAAAAGAAAACAAACAAAGCATGAGTGAAGAAAAGACATCATACCTTATGTGCCAGGTGAAAGAGTAAACGGTTCTGGAGACGACTCTTAGGTGCTGTAAGGAAAATTCAGTAACTATTGCTGCAAAAAACAACTGAGGGTGTCTCTATTTTATTTTTCAATAGACATACATGCACCTTTTCTCAATAGACATATACGCACGCATATCCTTTCATTAACTAGCCCAAGTACAGTTCTTTGCAGGTCATGCCCCGGGGCGGGTTCTACCAATTTTAGAGTGGTTGAAAGGCCTTCCTGCTTCCTGTCTTCATTCCTTGCCCATTTCTTTTGAAATCCCTGTTGAAAATAACTTTTAATTGGCCTCTGCCTTCCATGAGCTTTAAAACTTTTATGAATTGCACTATCATTTGCCTGCAGGGCCTTCTGGATAGTACTCTATTTTTGCACAAGTGACACACAGCACAGCATCTTTTATAAAATAAAAAGCAGCAACAGAAAAACTCATAATCAAGGCTCCGTCTACAATATGGCATATTTGAAGTAAGTTGTGATTCATAATTCTAGGAGTCTTGTCAGCTTCCAGTTTATTGCAAAACCTACTGCTGCTACCATTTTGTTACATATGCACATTATATTATACTTAGTTCTAATATTTCTTCTGTCCTTAGGAACAAAAGGCACATGAAAGAATCCTGCAGTCAGAGCAGATAAGATTCAAACTAAGATATGGCGAGAGATTTAAGGGAGACATGTCCTTTCTAGAGCCACTAAAGTTCATGAAATTTTGCTCTAGCAGGATTAGGAATTCCATTTAACTCGCTCCATATGACACAAATTGTTAACTGTAGAGCTTTAAGTCACTAGAGAGAGCCTTGTGCTTCACTGAGAGTGACAAAGGTCCTCATCCAACAAAGCTATTAATTTCTTTTGCAAGCAATCTTCCAAAAAGCCTTCCCTTGTTTCCTGTATTTTCTTTAGCCTACTCGGTTAATGAGCACTCTCATTCTTGCTCAGACCAACCAGCTGGCAACCTATGTTCCACAAAAAGGATGTACATGGAATCTTTACAAAAAGCAGAATTACTTACTGTGTTTATGAGGCCACAAAAGTGCAGAGTTAGCAAAGCAATGGCCTGTAACACAAGGCTATAATTCTTCTGACATCCTAAACCATGAAAGAGGGCTCAAACCACCAAAACCTTTTCCCTCCCCCACTCCAAGATGGAATTCTCTAGTAATAAGTTAGATTTTTTTTTTTTTTTTTTTAAAGCAATCTAGGGAGAGATTTCCAGCCTTCTTACTCTTTCTCCACACATTGTAGGAAAACTTTGTAACACAGTGAACAATGCCAAAACCCAGGCCATCCTCATCAGGTTAGCAGTGTAAGGCTGTCCACCTACTTCTGATAGGCACAGCAATTATTTCTCCCCTTTTCTCCTTCCCAAGCTGTGTTATTTAACCATGTTCCTAGAAAAAGAGGACAGTGAATTGTATCTTTAAAGGACTGCTAGAACGGAGAAGTCCCAAAAGGCAAAGGCAGTATGAGAGAGGTCTCACAAAACCACAACATCTTGCAAGGTATTACTAACAGAGCACCAAGTTGGTAAGATGCTAAATGGTCTTCAATATATGTGGGAATTCTCATTAGCCTAATTATTAGAGAGCAAAAGTTTTTCTGATCTACAATCAATATTGTATAAGCAGCAGTAGTAGTATAACTGACACGATAGTACATTCTAGAAATTATTTCATCCATTGAGTTACAAAGTTAGAGTATCTTAATTTAAATGCATGTTCTTTAAAATGTTTTCAGCAATGATACTGTGGTAACTCCACATGTGCCCCAGCATTAACTGATAGGTTTCAATATCAAAGTTTAGAAGGGTTGCACATGGACCCCACATGTGCTTTTGTGCGAAACTTCAAGCAGCCAACCACAACCACCCTTCACAATTCAAAACATTTGGTCATCAAAGACTCCAAAAATACAAGCAGGACAGATTGTGGGATTTACACGGAAAATAACATATTGTATAATCACAGTACCATGGGTAAAGACACCAATGTTCTTTTTTTGAGTAGGTTTTGTTTCTTCTACTTTTTTTTTTTTTTTTTTTTTTGAGTGGGTTTTAGCATTAATTTCACTGTGAAAATTGTGACTTGCAAGCAATACTCCCTCAAGAACCTAAACCGAGGAATTCTTGTTTCACTGGTCAACCAATGACTGCAGTGCTGCCCTCACAAACCTGGCATCTGATCTGACATCAAAGTTATTATTTACTTCTTGGCAAAAGCTGGAGGGTTAGTCCATGTTATTTTACACCTAAAAACAGGCAAAAGATGAAACCTGAGTTCCAATGATGTGCATGGATATGTGGAGGGAGAAAAAATGTCCTGCTTCATAAGATATTACATGATATTATCCATTTTATATTCTTTAAAATAAGACACTTTTACTTAATGTCAGCCAGAGAAGGAGAGGGGCAAAACCCCCCAAAATATAGTCTTGTCGATATAGTAAGCAGAACCAAGGAAACATTCAATATCAGCAGTTTCTTGTCTCCAAGTGCCAAATGCATTTTTTGAGGAAGACAAGGAAACATATGAACAAGGTCAGATTAGTTTCCAGAAAGAATTTGGTTATGAATATTGGATAAAGCTGTTGTCAATCACTGGAGCAGGAAGTGATACAACTGCCTCATCAGAGATAATGATTTTTAAGGGACATTAGGCTTGTTCTTTTGTTACTCTCTGCTGCTACCAAATTTCATTGTCACTGATCCATTAATGCCACAAGGAAGCACAATCTTCTTTTCTTGTCCTACTTTCTCAAGACGACAACTGTACTTTTTTTTTTTTTTTAAATCAGTACTAAACAATCTAGGGATCATAACAAACATGATGACAATGCTGCATGGCAACAAACTGGACCCTGCTCCAGGTCTAGTATTGGCCTTGTGCTGATGACATCACTGAGATAGCTGGATAGGATATATCTCTTTCCAGCTAGGAAACACATTGATATTCCTACACTAGAATTTTTGTCACGATCATGCTGATGTTCCAGGCACTAAAGTCATAGTTGACATTGATCTTAAAAGTGTTCTGTATATTTTTATGTGCTGACACTGAACAGGCACCTAGTGAATTATTTGTTAAAATATAATAAACAGCTACAATAAGAGTGAAGACAGTTATCTTCCCTAATTATTAAACAAAAAGTTAAGCTCACTAGAAATGGCAGCCCAGACTCTTGGTGGGTTCCATATTGCTGCCACAGGCAGTAAAAAGATGGTGAAATAGAGTCATGGACAATGTGGCATTTGTGCCCTCTCGTAAGAGTGCAAGGCAATGCTAGTCATGCATCCATTAACAAATGGATTAACAAATCCCATCTAGCAGACATAATGCATATGCTATAGCAGCACTTCACACATTAACAGACATAGAACACATCTTAAACATATATAGCAGGAGCTGGTAGGAATGGAACAGTGCTGAGAAGGTTCCAGCCTGACAGCACAGAAAATATGACCAGAGGAAACCTTATTCTCCTGTCCCTGAGAAACAACGCCCTGCTCACCTGAATATAGTAGCTGAATGAAGCCCTCTGTGCCTCAGAACCACAGTCTCACTGGTGGAGGGAAAATGCAAGGGTATGGGAAAAATGTTCGGAAAAAATGTGGTCCAACAGCGAGGTTCACGCTTACATACACTTGAATAGCTCAACTGTTCAGAATTTTCATGAATGAAATTTACAGAGGACATTCACTGAAATTTTCCCATTCCCAAAATACTTAAAAGCCAGTTCAGCTATGTTCAGTTACTTGCAATATATACACATTTCATTTCAGTCATGCCTAACTAAGCACAGTAAGCTAAAGATCATCAAACCAAAAAACTATCAATTATTCCTGTTCTGTAGCTTCCACTATACTTTAAAAAGCAAAACAAGAAGATAAGGTTAGTAGTTTTTAAAGTGTAAATATGTATAAATTGATATTTTCACTTGTGCACTTTGAAAGTTCCATATATCAAACTCTGCTGGTTCAAAACCACAGCTAAAATGCAAGAAAATGAACTACTGTTCTCAAGAAATACAGTACAAGCAGAAAGCAGATAATTTTGCATGTAGGTAAACATGCAGTCTAAAGAAAGAGAAAACCCAGCAAGTTTTCCATGCCTTCTTGTAACTGCACATTTTCACTGGTGACAACTATCTGACACCTGGCAAACATTCGTACAATCATAAGCAAAACTGGTTTAGAAAATGTCATTGTTCTTACTAATCCATCTCTGTTCTGCCTTTGTACAATATTGCTCCTTCCAGTATAGGCTGTGAAATGAGAAGTGTCTCTGCTCAGTTAAACCACATTCAGATCTGACACACGCAGAATTGTGAAGAAGTAATTACAAGTAATTACAAAGCTTTGCCCATCAAAAATTAGAAGGGAGGAAAAAAAGGCAGGGGGGGGAGGGAAAGAACTTTAATGACTGGTTCAGCAACACAACCCTGTCTATGCATGAATCTTAAATTTAATTGTAAAATTCCATTTATCCTAAAAAGACTGTTTTTCATAACAGATTTAACTGCAGTCCCACTAATGTGCATATTTTGTGGTTTAAAAGAACTGTTAGTTCTTGTGTTTTTCTTAATACAGTGCTAGCCAACGGCTTCTGAGAGCACTATGCAGGCTTCTAAACACTAGGATCAGTTGCCAGGATCGCTGTGCAAGTGTGCCAGGCTGAGTTTCTGGTCCTTGTCCTTTCCAAGGCACAGGAACTGGGAATGCGACATAAGATTATTTGTTTTTATAATTAAAAAACAGTAATTTATTATTATTTATTAAACCAAGATGAAAACTTTCAGCTTCATTCTCCCAAGACTAGATGGGCTAGCACACAGCATGGAAAACATATGTTCAGCCAATGTACTAGAGGACAGATGCAAAAGGAGTAAACAAAGCATCACTTGGCAGCTTCACTATGGGATGACTATGAAACAACAGTAGCTGACTTGAAGTAACTCTACCTTCACCTCAGATCCAGGAACATTAGTAACTGTAATATAAGGGGACAGCAGGGAAAAAGGAGAAGCCAGAAATATCTGAAAGGAATTTGGAAGAAAGCCTAGAGGAGATAAAGTACAACTGTAATGAAAAACCTTCAAAGAAGGATTTTTCTTTATTGCCTTTTTGCTCTACTTCTTAGGTTATATTTGCAGTAATTCTGGTTTATATGACTTTTGATATACAGATTTATTTTTTCCTGACAGAATGCACCATGAAGTTTTAATTAAGAAACGACAAGCTAAGAGAACACTTCACATCTATTATAAAATAAGCATAAAACCTTGCTCCACAACAGATTGTAGACTATATACCTTGTATGAAATGCAATAATTACCTCATGGCTTTTAATGCTAATTTCCTAATTTTTAAGTATCCTGCATATTTTTCCTCAGACAGTTAACAATAATTTTCTTAAGCAACAGCAACAGTACATGGGAAGAAGGAACTTCTATTTGATTTCTAGATATTCACATGTTTGTGTGGAAAATCTACTCCGGAAAAGTAGCTGACATTTATGTTCCCTTTCACACAGAGATTCCATCACTGTAGAAATTTAGAATTATAGCTGAAAATAAATTATTTCTCCGTCATTTGTTTAAGTACTATGCTACTTTCAGGGGCCTAGCATAACTGCAGCAATAAGCAGCAAGCAGTATGCAAGAATTCAGGCAAAATAATCCCAAAAATAGCAATGGTAAGCAGCCCAACACTAACACTGACTATCATTTTTTCAGCAGTCTTCAAAGCAGTACTGGATAAATGGTGTTCTTCTAGAGACTTCACCTGTTGTGTCTATATCCAATGAAATATTTTGCTTCTTCAGGATCTTTGCAAAACCATGGAAGAGATCATAAGATGTTATGGTCTCAGCTGTCAATAACATATTGCAAACAGCCATCACTGATGCAATCCTAAGATGTTAAAAAAACCTAAAAGAGGATCTGTCTTGAGCGAAAATAAAATGGTTCAACCTCAATGTAAGAAAGACTGAAATGATGGGAAAAGGAAAGGGGAATATACAACACTTGGAAGCCTTCAATGGAGAAAGGACAAGTACAAATCTTCAGCTGTGACTGCCTCCCCACCAAGCTTAAATAGCCAGAAATCACCAGTATTACAGTACCCACAAGAAAAGTTTAGCACCTCACTATAAAACCTGACATGCTGTCCTTCTTAAACAATTACATAAAATCAGGAACTGATATTACTAGCGTGAGCACTCAGTTATTCTCTGTTCCCTCCCTCAGCAATATTCCCTACGTCTTGCGCTCCTTTCTTAATATTCCTGCCCTTTCGTTCAGCACCCGAGTACCACTAACCACACCCCCTACCCTGCCACTCAGCAGGCTACTATGAACTAATCTGAAGGGGCATGAAAAAATTAACCTTCCCTCATTTCCAGCTCACAGTTAATAACGGTGCATGCCCAGCTGTGTATTTGTCATCTCTAGAATGGGTTACGGTAATTCACATGATGTGAAGCTGATGACAATGACTCCAACTGGTACAGGATGCAGCTGCTTGCTTCCTCCATGGTTTAGGTCGAAGTGACACCACAGGCTCTACTACCCAATTATTTTTAGTTTCCAGTTCAAGTCCTAGATTCTAATGTCCAAAGCTCAGATTTGTGGTACATTAAAGATTAAATTATTATTTAATAATGAATATTCTAATGAATATTAGAAATTTATGCACCTCTCAAACAATCACAAAGCACTGCATGAAACTTTTTACAGTTGGAAACAAAACATTTCCAGTTGTGGGATTCGAGCTCAGCATGATCTTTCAGAGGATTTTAAAGGGATACGAGAATCTAATTATTTCTAAAAAATACTACAAAACTGTCTTTTTTGAAGGCACTCCTCCACAGTAGCAGAAAGTACACAACTGTTTTCTCCCTACTCTATTTTCAGCCCAAGACTAGAAGACTAAAGAAAGAAAAAAAAAGAGAAAACCCATACTTCAATAAAAGTTTTATCCTAAAAAGGCAAGAGTCAGAAGCTGACTGAGGACATCACTACTGTTAATTCTACTTAGAAAGCTCTGAGATACTATGGTTATGGGATACTATATAAATCACTAAGATAAAGAGAAAGTGATAGGTAACAAAATTAAACTGCAGAAACATTTTTAGGCAGTAAAAATTGCCTTGGAATCTAATTTCCATTCCTCTTCTTTAAATGATCCCATGCGTGTTCAGATTAAAGTAGAATTGTAACAATGTGACTGCGGTGAACTCCACGCCTTGAAGAATCAGATACCTAATATCTGACTTATAAGGCAACAAGACCCAAGACCACCTACTGAGTCACTCAAACTACGTAAACAGAGTTCTTGTCCACATCAAGGAGAATAATGAACTCTCTCAGAATCTTATTTTCTGATAATTTCACTAGCCTAATTAGCTTCATCTGCACGGGCTCCGAGACATGGAATCAGTCAAAAGAAAAGTAACTTTTTGTTGCTGGTCAGCATATGCTGGATTTTGTATTTAGAAATTAATAAGAGAAATTATTTTCCAAATGCTTCTTTCAGTTCCAGGTGCTCCACCTGCCAAAGGTATTTTTAGGAAGCAAACTGCATCATGACTCTCCTGTTAAATGAAAAAAAAAAAAACAACCCCAAACAAAAAACCCAAATCCAAAAAACTTTGCTCAAAAGCATCCTTTATTCCTACAAAGAAAAAAGCATTGAATACTTTCTCTGGAAATCACTTTAAGTGTTCAAGTCAACAAGTAGTCCTCTCCTTCAGAGACATACATCTCACCTTTCAAGGCTGCTTGTTCAGCTTGCGTATACATCCCCAGAAAGAAGTACGTACAGGCAAGGTTCACCCAAACATCTGGATTGCAAGCTGGTTGTTTGGTTAAGGCCTCATATTCCTGCAACAGAAGAGAGGGGTGATTTTTTAAAAATGCATAATAGCACAGACTTGTATTAAATATCATTCTTCCTTCCACCATTTTACAATGTACCATTAAATTATTGAGATCAAACAACTTATTCTCAAGTTCATTACAGTTCTTACAACGAAACTATTACATTTTAACCTAAGATACGTCCCTAGCTCTTTTTTGTTTACAGCAATAGAACAGACAACAAGGACAAGCAGTGCTATAAATCTTCGCTGTAGGAGCATGAATTCTGTCAATACTGAAGTTATAAATATATAAAAATTTATGTATATTA